CAAGTCATATCTATACTCGACAATAAATTTTATGAAAAGTAGGATAGTAAAGAAACGAAGAGGCTAAACACTTTTGTACGAGGGTGTAGCTTCGAAGAGCATGTATGAGATATCCAACAAAAATCATCTTTTCAAAGTAAACCTCACAACAAATAATTAAAGAACCTGTGTTTTGTTTCCTTCTTTGCGAACTCTACCAGAAATGTATGCGATATCTTAGTTTTGTATGGCCAGTACTAGAATCAGCGAAGAAGACTTTTGAAAAGTTTTAACACGTAAAATTTTCATCTCTACGAATCGATTGATTTTTTTCTACGATTGATGCGGTTCCAGTGCTGATATAAGGCCGATAAATAAGCAGTTTAAAGAAATGATTATGAGTCAAGTTTCAGTCACACGAAATTTTGATGATATGATAATAGGAATAGAATGAAAAATGATCTTGATGGATTTCTAGTTCAAAATTAAAATAAAAAAAATCTCTGAAATAGTAAAGAACTGTTAAAGCCAATTCAGTTCGAAGAAAAATACAATCGTGAAACAACAATACCAAAAAAAACGTAGCAAACGGTTTGCTCTGTTTTTCTCAAATCTTTGTCAGTTTCTTAAAACACGTTTGTATCTATTTTGTTCATGTTTTTCAATAAACAGCTTCGAACAGACCAGTAAAATAAACTATGTGTAATTATCTTTCTGTTTTTTTGTTTCGTTCACCAAGGCAGGCCTTTTCATTGATCGCTTATTAAAAACTAAAATGATAAATATTTCAGGGTGAAAAGCTTTGCTTTTTCGCAAATAAAGTACGTGACACTATCGTATTTTTCTTCTGATTTTGTAAAAAAAACTCTCTTAATCAACTCCTATTTTTTAATGAAAAAACTCTGATTTCTTAAATTTGAATTTGACAACCCTGGTGTTGGTATATATATGTACTGGCTTGGATATCGTGTTCGTCTCATGAACACCCACCCTTCTTGTATATCTGTTGAAAATAGTTGATCAGTTTCAGCACATAAAAAAAGAAATGGCCGTTTTATTTGTTCAGCTTCTTGTTTCTCTATTCTCGATGGATGTCCTACTATAGCATCTTTGATTGTTGATGATAATTCTGCATGGGTTATTGAATAAACTCAATTTAGCTTCATAACAAAATCTAATTATCTAAAAGTAAAACAAATGAATTAATCGAATTATTAAAAGAAATATTCTCATTTTTACTTGAGTTGATTGATAATGTCCTTTAATAGTTGAAATAAATTTCTCTGCAATTTCACATGCACCGCAGACAGGATGTCTTTTCAATCAATCAGGTAATAACTCTTGATAGTTAGGTATATTAGGATCTACAGGATCTCCATAAAAAAGATCAGGAATCAAAAACTGGTGTGCCAGTTTCTTCATGTGCCATATTTCTGTTATAGATTCTTCATGAGCTTGTGAATGATGAATTTGCTTTGTACAAAGATCAGTACAATGTGAACTATTCATTATATTCGATAAAATATTTTAAAATAGAAAGAAAAACGAAATTGAATAGTTCTAACACAATTTTAGAAGTCTTACCTAAAATGCAACATCTTGATTATGATTGAGTTTAAATAAAGAAGAATAAATAAACATAACATCTTATGTTTCTTTTCTTTTTATATATATTAATCATTAACTTTTGACACCATTCAAACGATACTCATTATCAATTGAGAATAATAAAGAGTTCACGAAGTCTTAAAATAAGTAACGCTCGACTGATTGTTTCGGAATCAGCTTCTATTAGTTGTCATCAAAATAAAATCACTTGTTAATTTATCGTGATAGGAAAAAGGAGAACAATAGAAAATTATGAATTAATTCTATTTGATAATTTTTGATTTCTTTTTATGAAAATTTCAAAATACAAGTAAGCTTGCAAAAAAAAACATTATACCAGGCGTATCAAATTGTTTGCACACTTTTTGTTTTACACATATTTCACCCAAGGCTCAATAATATAATCCTAATTTTTTCTGAAAAGATGCGCTGGAGTGTGGGTCTAGTATGAGTATTATATCCATCACACGCTCAAACCCATCCTCAACTTGGTTGTCATTTCCATTTTCCACAGAAAGACGATCTCTGCTGTAAACCGTCTCCAGATAGCCCAACCTGCTCCCTGCACGACATTGTAGACCACTGAGGGATCTTTAAACTCCGCATACTAAAGCCTCGTAAAACCAGGTATAGGTTTGGGTGTGGACGTAGGTACGAATATGATTAAAAGAACGCACACACTTACACCCACACCCACACCCACACCCACCCACACCCACCCACACCCACCCACACCTACACCCACACTCACACCCACCCACACCCACACCCACACCCACACCCACACCCACACCCACACCCACACCCACACCCACCCACACCCACACCCACACCCACACCCACACCCACCCACACCCAGCTATTATTATTGCAGATCATGAGAATGATCGCATTCTTGAATGGAAACTTAATGCGCAGGTTGGTGAAATCATCGCAAAGAGAAATGAACATGGAAATAAAACCTTCTATTGAATAATCCTGTAGATGTAATTCTTGACAAAAAAAATGATTCTTTGATCATCTGCGATTCGGGTAATAAACGAGTGATGAGATGGTTTCATAAAAGCCATATAAATCCACAAATTTTCATTGCTAATATCGATTGTTGTGGTCTGGCAATAGATGATAATGGATCAATTTATGTTGCTAATTGTACGAAGAACACAGTGACACAATGGAAAGAAGGAGACATAAATGGAACAGTAGTTGCGGGTGGAAATGGCGAAGAAAAAGAGCTCAATCAATTAGACTGTCCTGCTTTTATCTGGGTCGATAAAGATTATTCTCTTTATATTTCAGATACTTTCAATCATCGCGTGGTGAAATGGAAACACGGTGCAAAACAAGGTTTTGTGGTGGCTGCTGGAAATGGTGGAGGGGACGATCTCAACCAACTGCATTATCCTCGAGGAGTGTTTGTTGATAATTTGAGTCTCATCTATGTCGCAGATCACGAAAATCATCGTATAATGCGTTGGTCTGAAGAAGATAAACAAGGTTCTATCGTTGTAGGTGGAAAGGGCCAAGGACAAGGATCCGATGAACTCAATAGTCCCATGGATTTATCATTTGATGCTGAAGGAAATCTTTATGTTAGCGATTCTGCAAATAATCGAATTCAAAAATTTGAACTCTGCTTTAATAAAACAACCTGTTAATTTCGTAATAAGCTCTGTAAAACTGAATATTTTAAATTTTGACAAAACATGATTTACAAAATAAAATAATTTATGAAAATAAACAATGAGCTTATCTCAATTTAGCTTAAAAAATATTTTTTTCGAAGAACCCATTGTTGCTGATGAATTGAGACGATCCATATCGATAAAATTTTGATAGTTCTTCTCTTGTTTCTTCTGCTAAATGTTTAGTTTATGATAAAATATAATGTCAAAATGAAGATTTGAGTCAAATCTGGAAGAGTGAGAATGTGGCTGAAGACATGTATCGTACGCACCCACACCCTCGAAAGTTGTGTCTATGACATAGATTTAATTCAATTTTAGTTCTGAAATAGATTCTACTAACACAAAGTAGATGGAGGATTTGATTGTTAATTACTTGGAAGTATTTAACTCATGTCGAAGCAATGAGAAGTTTTAGTTCAATGAAATATCGAGGATATGTTCGATTATTAGCAGACTACTGTTACAAATTCATTGATTTGTATACGACAACATTTTCGATTTTTCAACTTTGTTATACTTTAATGCTTGATCAATTTCGATTACCTACCATCAAGATAGTTTTCCAAATATTGTTTACGGAAAAACTGCCGTTTTACTATAAATATATGGTATGAATGGCAAAATACGAAGTTATTTCTCGAAAAATTAAGTAATTTAATAATTAACTAACAAATTAATGAATGGCCATTTAATGGGAGGGGAGGGGTTTAAATATGTTGGCGAAGATAGTAAATGACAAAACTATTCATCAATAAAATAATCGATGTCATACAGTTATAAAAACTAAGTTAGTTTTGTGTATCACCTTGAAATAGATCGATATTCTTAGGAACATCAAAATAAATTACTTCTCCTTGTTGTAACATAAGTATACGATCGCTATTGGCTATTGTATTCAATCGATGTGCAATCGTTAATATAGTACGATCACGAAACTTGTCAGCAATAACCTCTTGAATCATCCGATCGGTTGTATAATCAACATTTGCAGTAGCCTCATCAATAAGTAATATACGACTCTTCTTCAGGATGGCTCGAGCTACACAAATCAATTGTCGTTCACCAGCACTCAAATTAGTACCCGATTCAGCTACCGTTAGAAGGAGTCCATCAGGATGATTGCATACCAATTGTTTGAGTTGAACAGCTTCAAGTGCTGTAAGACATTCTTCATCTGAAAATTGTTCGAATGGATCAATATTGTATCGAAGTGTACCACAGAAAAGTATAGGTACTTGTGGAATAACATTTAAATGAGAACGAAGACAATCGAGTGAAAGATGTCCAATATCGATACCGTCGATGAGAATGCTTCCGCTAATTGCTGATTGATCGACAAGTCGGAATAGAGCTTGAAGAAGTGATGACTTTCCAGCACCTAAAGGGAAAGCCGGAAATCTATACGTACCAGTCAAATAATAACATTTAAAATAATCTTAAAAATGAAATAATCATACCTGTTCGACCAATAATTCCAATTTTTTCCTTGGGCTCAATTCTTAGATTAAGATTTTTGAGTACAGGATCGAGTTCTGGTCGATAACGAAAAGTATAGTCTTTAAATTCTATAATTCCACGAGAAGGCCAATCATTTGCTGGTTGAAGAAATACATCGCTTTTATTACTGTTCTGATAATTTTCTGGCACTAGTTGACCATATTCATGAATACGTTCTGCACTGGTCATAAAATTTTCAGCTTCAGCTGATTGTCGTATACCCCATTGAAAGAGACCTGTTAAAGTGATACAATAGCTAATACTGAGTGCTGCTGCTGACGGATCGATTTGATCACGCAATGCTACTGCCAGAACAGCAGTAATCAAAGTAAGTAAGGATGTGATAAGATCGAGTCGTAAACCAAACCAACGTGCAGTAGTAAAGAGAACGAAGTAACTTCGTGAGTTTGCATCGATTCTTTCCAAAAACATATTTAAGAAATTGGTTTGAACGTTAAACGCACGAATACTAGTAAGACCATCTAATGACGATGAGAACAATGCATATAATGGACTACGCGTTAAACTTTCGAGTCGTTTCAGTTGACGACTCGAACGCATATAAAATCGACGTAGCCACAAAACTGTAGGCACCAAAGGAATAAGAATTAGAAGTACCCATGGATTGATTATTCCAATGATTGTAATAGAACCGAAAGTCATTAATAGATTCTGCATAGTATCAATCACAGCCTGAGGTAACGATTCATCTAATACTTGTTGATCTTTGCTTGCTCGATTCAATATTCGTCCACTTGGATTACTTTCAAAAAAACGTAGTGAAGTATATAACATACCGTTAAGCATTCGATTGTGAAAATAAGTCGATCCACTTAACATGACAAAGAAAGTAAAACCAACACGTATTAATGCAATGATCAATGTAGAAAATATAACTGCAAGATAGACGTAAGCATAAAATGAAGATCGTTGTTCATTTTCATCTTTACCAGACCATATAGCGAGCCAACGATTTGCAAAATCGTATAGAGCTTCATTAGCAAGCATAAAAATTATCATAAGAAAAAAGCCTAACCAACGGAGAGGTGGTGAAGTAAACAATTGCAGCCAAATATTCCATTTGATGCCACCATCAACTGATGTCTCACTTTTTATAATTGAATTCATATCAGTTGTATTAGTGTCAAGTTTCCAATCTGTTTCCTTCTCGTTAGATGAATTTATTTCTAATGTATCATTCGATGGGTCAGTTGGAAGTGGTTGTTCAATATGTAATTCGTCAATGTGACCATTCGTTAAGAGAATCATTTGATCTGCTTCAACTAAAAAATGTGTCTGATGTGTAACTAATATTCGAGTTTTTCCACGAAGTAGACTGCGTGGACCGATACATTGATCAAAAATTTTCTTTGCCACTTTCCGATCAACGGCAGCAAGTGGATCGTCAAGTAAATATAAATCAGCATCAGCATAAAGAGCACGAGCAAGCGATATTCGAGCTTTTTGTCCTCCACTCAAATTGACACCTTTATCACCAATCATTAATAAATCACCAACTTCACCGAAATTCTCTAAATCAGTCTCAAGACAACATGCTTTTATTACATTTTTGTAACGTTCTTCATTCATTGGTTTGTCAAGAAGAATATTAGCTCGAATAGTGTCAGCAAATATCCACGCCGATTGTGGAGCATACGAAATAGAATCGATATATAGTTGTAGTTTTCCACTAACAAGATTGATCTCACCGAGAATGGCAGCTAATAGAGTTGACTTACCGGCACCAATACTACCTTTCACTCCAATCAAGTTACCTCTTCTGATTTTTAGATTGACTGAGAACAATGAAAGAGAATCTTTCCAAGAAAATGATGCATCTTCCATTACGATTACATCATCTCTACGTTCATTTTCTACTTTTTCAAGTTTATCCAGCAACATGTCGAGTTGCATAAATTGATCGATTCTTCTTGCAGAAACGCGAGCTTCACTAAATTTTTCAATTGCGTGCGGTAACATAACTGTTATTGGAGCTCGAATCATGCCAAAGAAGGCCAGTGCTGCGAAAATATTTTCTGGAAGCAAAGGTTGACCCATTAGCCAACTACCACCGAATGTAGCAAGAGAAATCAAAGGTATCGTAGCGAAAGAGAGCGCAATATTAAGAGATCTCAAGGAGGTAGCTTTGTAAATGTTCGAAAGTTCACGTCGACGTGTTTCACGCACTCGTTCTTCCATTGCTTTTTCCCAATTGTACATTTTAATAATTTGACATCCATTAACAAGTTCATTGATTGTTTGAACACGTTTGTCTGTACATGCCATTGTGCCCTTTCGGTATTGACTGAATTTTCTACTGAAAATGAGCTGTATTGGTACCAATAAGATCAATACTGCATAGCCGAATAATGTCGGTAAACCGATGTTCCACCAAACGAGACTAAACGTTATAACACTTTCAACAGGTACCAGCACTAAAGCATGCACGAACATACTTAATTCTTCAAATTTGCCAGCGTCATTTGCTACTAAATTAATTGTCTGAGCAGCGGTAGTTTTGTGAAGAGCTGCAGTATTTATGGTCAACAAGTGTTTATAGATAGTTGATGATAATGCATTACGAACGCGCATGCCTACGCGTGTATTTCGAAAGAAGATTTGTTGATGACAAATGGCTTGTAAAATTGCAGAAATGCATATTGCAATAGCATATAGATAACCAACGTAAGTCGGTACTTCTGATTGACCTTTAATAAAGAGAACAATCTGACGAACAAGCAATGGTTGTGAAATACGAGCTATGATAAGTGGGAAAACGATCAATATACTCGTTAGATAATCTTTAAAAAATGTTCGCTTGATTACATGCCATGTACCTTGCCATTTCGGACCATACTGATTCACTCTGTTTAACAAGAGTGAACATTTGTCGTTAACTGAAAGATCGTCGAGATCGTCGTCGACAAGTGTACGTTTATTGCCTAAGGAAAGAATAGGCGTTATCCACAAGAATAGTGGTATCTGTATCCATCGTGTCCATCTCGATTTAGCCCAATCAAATCGACATGATTGTCGTTGTTTAGCTAGAATAGATTTTTGCAAAAATAAAATTCTATTTTCTTCTTCTGTTCAACTAACTGTGTACAAGTTTGACACTCATTTTATCGTAAGTAACGATTTCTAGACTGGAATGTGATGTTGACTATGTATGTTTTATTTAAGAAATCGCACACCATACTGAATATTCCCCGTCTCTTATATAGTACTTGGAACATTCAATATCCTACTATAGGAAAATGTCACGCCATATAGAGAAATACCACATCATAAGCTAATGACATATCATAAGAAAATATCACTCTCTACGTGTAAAATCATCACTCAATGTATAGATCAAAGGGATTTGATCAAAGTGCATATATGAGGACAAACATCTACATGCAACTAGTGATATAGAGAAAAGAGCAAGCCACAGTTCGGGTGCGGGTGTTGATAAAAAAAGAATAGAGGTAACCACATCCACACGATTTTGAATTTTACTATAAAATAATAAAAATATAATTGAAATCCATTGTATGCTTTCACGCCCTTGATTCCACAGTATATTCGATGCTCTATTTTGCACACTGATTATCTTTGTTTACAAAATCTTGATCTTATTATCAATGAAAAAGAAATATTAAATATTACAATTAATTTCAATTCAGTGATACTTACTTACAATTGGCGGAGACACTTTAGATGAATTTACGAGATCCATACTCTGTAAGTTCACTTGTGTTTCTGGAGAAATTTTTGATGAAGACAAAATATGAATATACTGTTTGGCTGCTGTATCGACATCTATTGCTGTTCTTCTTACCATCGTTCGTTTACTGTTAGTTGTTGAGAGTGAAAAGACAAGAAACAGTTTATCACTTTTACTTTTATTGCATCAAAAGTTTATTACAGACAATTTCTCTATATTCATTGTCATTTCTTATCTCAATGTGAACAGGCTTTAGCAGGTTAAGTGACTATATTTATTTCATAAATAAAGTTTACAATCATATAGAAAAAATCAAGGCGCACTAAATGGTATATAAAATGTTCTTCTTTGATCAAGTCAAGATTGATCCTAAGAATAATATATTAGTAAAAAATGCAATGTGTGAGTGAGGGTGGGTATCGTTGTAGATATTATACTTATCTCTCACACCCACATCCTCACCCTGACTAAAGTTATATTGAAATGAATGAGTGGACCTTTTTTTTTTGATCTAGCTTTCGAGTTTGGATATCTATGATAACGAGGTCGCTAGTTAACGACACTAACAAAATCCAGAAAAAAAGAAAATAATCACGATGAACATCTCATATTACTGTCTTTTCGAATATTCCTAATTTTTCTATGCAATAAAATTTTTTTAATTGACTGACTCGATTATAAAATCATTTGCACAAGTGCATCAACAGATGCACTTAGAATTGATGGTATGACTCATCCGTATGAGCTTTTAGATCATACTGTAACATACTTAGAGAACGAGAAAAAGAAAGGTAAATAATGACGATGCATTTTTCTTTGTTTTGATGACAAGTATGAATGTATATAAAGACTCTGAAAATGTATGTTTTATTTTTTATTTCAGATTCTCATCAGTAATCATTTTCATTAGAAAAAAGAAAAATCCAATTCAATATGGCATCAACAAAACAACAACGTCTTGTGCTCGTAACTGGAGCCAATAAAGGTATTGGCTTTGAAGTTGTTAAAAAACTTCTGAAAGAATCATCTTCTTCTAACGATACTGTTATTCTACTTGGTTGTCGTGATTTAAAACGTGGTCAAGATGCCATCAATCAATTAGGTTCACCATCCAATGTACATCTTCTTCAATTAGATACATCGTCAGCCAGTAGTATTTCACATGCAACTGATGAAATTAAACAAAAGTGGGGAGGAAAATTAGATATTCTCATCAACAATGCTGGTATTGTAGCGAAAGACAATACTACTGATGCTGCTCGAGAGGTTTTTGCCACTAATTATTATGGAATTAAAATAATTAATGAACATTTATCTCCATTGATCAAAGAAAATGGACGTATCGTGAATGTGGCAAGTGAAGTAGGTGCTTGGACATTACATGATATGTCAAATGATCTTCAAAATAAATACAAATCATCTTCATTAACTACAAAACAAATTGATGCACTTGTAGAAGAATTTGTATCAGGAATTGAATCAAAACGTCTTGATGAACTTGGATACAATACTAAATTCCCGTATTTAATCTATGGCGTATCCAAAGTCGCACTTATTGCTCTTACACAAATAGAAGCACGTGAATGGTCTGGTGCAAAAAATGTACTAATCTTATCTGTTTGTCCAGGTTATTGTGCAACTGATTTGAATAATCATGGTCCGGGAGCACGTTCAGCGGAACTTGGTGCAGATTCTATTCTTTATGCAGCGAATGCTCCTGCGAATGAATTAGAAAATGGAGAATTCTATCAAGATGGAAAAAAGAAACCAAAAAGTTCGGCATGTAACATGGATCTAAGCAAGTTACCTAAGAAAAATGATTTATAGACAAAATATACATAATACTCGATGTAGTTAGTATTCTTTTTTTCAATAAAAGTTCAAGTCATTAAAACATATGAAAATATATTTATATCTTGATTATTGGAAAAGTAGATAAATGTCATTAAGAGAAGATCCAGGGTGGATGTGAGTGTCCATTAATAGAAAATACGCGCCCACACCCACTTCTTGATACTACTGATCGTCTGGATCCGAAGCATTTTGATTTAAATATAAGATTATGCGTGTTTAGTTTCGTAACTCTGCTACATGTTTAATGAAGCAAATTGAAGAGAGTGAAAAAAATCCATTAATTGCGTCCCATTTTGAATCGTCGACTCATTCGTTCGAGAACCTTCTTAAATTCAGTTTTATAAATCACGGCCGGCAACACAAATATTGGAAAAGTACCAATCAGTGGGAAAAATGAAATAAAGTAAGCAGTAAGATATATATACTTCTGCCATTGATGGGTGATGCAAACAAGGGTAAAGGAAAAGATCAAGCGCATCAGACTGAGGATCACCAAGGAGAGTGGACTGCCATATAAAGGTATTTGTTTTTTCAATTGTGTGAAGTAGGTCTTATCATTTTGATTATTACCTAACGCCTGTTTCATTTTCGTTGACTTATGCAAAAGAAACGCTGTGGCGACCATACTAATCAAACCAGGAACGATTAAACTAGTTAGATTTATTATCAATCTATAGTATTCGAGCCATGGCCATCGGAATCTGACTGTACACCATGTGTGTCGAGTTGTTGCTCGTGGATCGTCGATTAGTTGACGAATGAATGGTTCATGCCATCCAACACCCAAAACAGCAATTGTTAGGAGAAGAATAACACGTTTCGCCCACCAAACACTGTTCGACTTATTGAAAGAGATACCTTTGATCATATTGATGCTTCGTTCTATAGCTATGCACGCCGTCAGCCAGTCGAATAACATTGGACAAACACTAAGAAAATATTCTAGACTGATGCAGCTCCAAAGAATAGCTGACGAGTTATCAACATTATACAGTTGCGTATATAAAAGATAGAGAAATCGGCCAGTCAGTGCCAATAGTCCTAACTGGCCAACGATTGGCAAACATAAAAGATATACACCACAGCCAACTTCTTGGACTTTGGGCTGTTTGAAAGTGATCAATGCCAGAATATTCGATATAAATCCGAATGAAAGCATCAGTGTGATAACTGTTAATACTATTTTAACCAACAGAGATTGATCCGTTAGAGACATATTGATCAGAATATCTCGACCGAGCATGGCATCTAACGAAAGTGCATACTGGGATGTTGTGAGTTGACATAATGAACCGTATGAGCATCCACTACAAACACAAGCAAAGTCCCACATTCCGTTAAAATTATTTTGCACACAATAACCATTATTCTGACAGTAATCGGTTGTACATTGTGTTGATTCACGTTGAAAAAAGAGACATTGAGGGAGATGGTCTCTGTCACAGAAACACAAATAAGCTTCGTCATAGAAACATTTTATGATATCGTTCACTTGGCACGCACGTTGATAATATTTCACTTTTTTCACTAAGGAAAATTCGTGAAACGTTCTGTTCAAAAGTAGTTCATTCACGTACGGACAGCGATTCAGCTTATGAATGGTCGTAGTGATGTGTGTTTGTTGACTTTTGAGAATTGCAGCTATATAATATTCGAATTTGTTAGACTCAAAGAAGATTTGAAGAAGAATAAAAGGTGACAGATGCTTATAACCGTTGTTGAAAACACGAGTTAATTTATCAAATTGAACTGGTTTATGCAGCAGACGATTTTGAACAAATAAAATATCGGATGAATCTTCTTTTGACTCGAGAAAATGAACAACAGCAGCAGATGATAGTAGACGATTGTAATCGAAATCGAATTTAGAGAAGTAAATATCAATATAGGCATTAGCTAGTTCACAACGTGGCCCATAATAACTTTTGCGACATGCACAAATGAACTTTATCGGCAGTCGTTCATCTAACGGTATGCATGTTCCATCATTAGCACATTGAATATTATTGCAAGGATTGAATAATGCATGACAATCATTGCCCATACGCCCTAATGGACAAACACAAAGTGTTCTTCGATATCGATCAAGGCATTGTCCACCTCCGGTACATGAACAGATGGTCGAAATATTGCAGTACTGACCCGACCAGTGTTGTTCACACTGACAATATTCTTTGTGTGGTGAATTCAAATACTTTCTGCAATTACCATGAACACAAGAAAGAGTATTACAACTTTCTTGCTCTTGAAGCATCAAATGTAAGACCAGACGAGTGAAGGGAAGAAAAGAAAAACGAATATCAAAATTCCAAGCCGCTATGAAACTTACACTGAATGCGTCAACTAAAAAGGCATCGAGACGAACAGACCAATTTCCCTGTTGTTTTGGTGGAGGTCGCGGATAGTTTAGATAGAACATCTGTTTCATCAAGGGTACATGCAGAATTACTTCGTGATGCACAACTAGATCATTGAACATCAGACAAGCGATTAATCGAATAGCATTTCGTAGATTCTCATGACCACTTAGGGTGGACTGCGTATCAACTCGTAGAGTAATTAATACACGTTCCGACTGGTACTGACATCTTGGACCGTAATAGCTCGGTGAACAGAAACATTGGACGCTTGAAGACTTTGTTGTAACTGTAAGACCACGATTGCAATACCAATCGTCGGCTAGATCAGGAAATTCGAAGGAATAATCATTACTCATCGTTAATGATGCGGATAGTTGCAAAGCCTTATCGGTTGTTATTGGTGATGAATCGATGACGAGAGGAGGATATTCTTCAAGAAAATTCAGAGAATACATTGTCTTCGGATAACTAAGATCACAAAACCATTCATCTTCGGCATCTGGTTGGCAGTCGATGATTTTATTGCACCACTGAGCACGTTTAATAGCTGTTCCATTTTTGCAAATGAACATATACGCAGACGGATGGGTCACATTGTAAAACCATGGACAAATCAATTCATCTTCATTATAACGACAATCAGATTCTTCATTACAGATTATTTTTAAAGGTAAACATTGACCGGAAGAACATTGAAATAGAGATTTCGGATCTCTCGAAGCACATGTTTTTCTTTCATCTGTTCCACCTATGCAATCGACATGACCATTGCCTGCATATTCTTTTGCTAAACAACCCATTGTTCCATTTGAAAACATACAATAATGTTCATTCGCTCGACATTTGGTAACGGTATGTGTGATGTAGGAAAGGATTGTATTCGAACAGTTCAGTTCATCATCTCCGTTGCTCAAATCCCAATAGCCATCGCATCGTCGATATTTTGGCCATTCTTCACAATCTGTTTCGTCTGTGTCATTCCTGTTTAAAAATATTGTCTTGTTTTCACCATCACAATTTTCTTTGAATACGTAGTTAATCGGCGGTATATAAAGACCACGTAGAAACTGACAAGCGATATCAGACGCTCGTTTACATATACCAAGGTAAAATGCATCGGAACCATCCAAACAGTAACCCTTACCAATCAGTCGACGTGATACCCACTGATTGGTTGTTAAACATTTAAAACGATCTGTCATATTGACAATGTGCATAATCGTATCGTTGGAGGTCCAATTTTCATCTTCTTTGTAAAGACAATCAGCCGAACCATCATATATTTTATATTTTGAAACGAATTTCATGGATTTTTCACAGTAGAACAATCGCTTATCTTTTGTTAATATTGAAGTAGGAGCGAAGGTACAAGCAGAAAACAGTTGCATTAATGCCCAAGGTGTGGGATATGAATATTCAAATTCTTCTCTTGCTACACACAACAAATTATTAATCAACGGTAAGCCTTTCAAACGTAAGGCCGGACAATGAGTTGAATTGTAACATAAATGAGTTGGTAACCACCATTTGGAAGAAGCACTCGACGTGTTATGATAGAGAAGTTGAACAAATGGATAGAGAAAATTATTTGCAGTTTGAAAAACGAACGATATCGGACAATAGTCATGAAAATTTCTCACACATTCACTTTCAGATGCCTTCGACTTTGAGCATGGACAAGATTTATAGTTATAGCCAAAGAATTTAGAAGTTTGTTCTACCGAATTACACAACAACAAATACCAACATTGAAAGCTGATATGATTCAAACGATTATCTTTATGGGACAAGTTCAAACGAAGAAGATTTTCGCTCAGAAATAGATCACGACCATTATTACAATGTGCATCGCAATTCGAAGAATGTATACATGGTTGAACCCAATTTTTCGCCGGTAGACACTGACCATCACTGCATGAAAATTCATGTACATCGCATAACCGATAATCACACTCAAGCTTTGATGACATATAGCAAGAATCATCGAAGTCGATTGTTGGATGAGGCACTTGTTCATCACTTAGATCCATACAATCGTAACTAAAATCACGAAGAAATGTCTTTGGAATGCACATACCGAATCGACAGCGATATTCATCGTCTTTACATTCATTAGTTTCGAGTGATAGACATTCGATGGGTTCATCTTCGCCATTTTCACAATTGAAAATTCCATTGCAAATCTGTCGCCAATCAAGGCAAATTGTAGAATGACATCGAAGACCTTCATAACATGTCAAAAGCGACGCATCTTTGATAATATCATAATTACCAGCCCATAAATACTTAATGCCAAGTTGATTATTGATGATTTCATTTAGTTCATTCTCCGACTTTGTATCAGATAAGAAGTACTGACATCGCGTACCAAACCAGTTACCTAGAAATGACTTTTTTTATTTCGTGTCAACAAACAAAAACTATTTGCTCACCCGAACAGTTGCAATATAGTTGGTTGCCAAGCGTCAAATCGTGATTGCTCAGATATTTCTGATAATCATTGATCATATCGATAGGTGCATTCCATCTGTACAATTGATAACTGCCAACATCCTTGAATTTCAATTGTTCGAATGTATAAGTCGCTTCATCATCACACTGTTCATTCTTGTCATTAGAATCACCTATACTGTGTCCAATACAGTAGGGAATTAACTGCCACTCATTGGTATCACTGATCAACGTGAACGAATAGAGACAATCTTTGTAATCAATCTTATTCGACACTTTAGTATTGTACAGATGAAACATGTCGCTACGCGCTATTAATAAAGATAATAGCCACACATATTGCCACATCATCGACAAATTCTAAAATCTATAAAAAGAAAAAAGGAAATCGGACAGCCGGCATAAGAATAGAATTCATCATATCCGAAATAGTCTATACGACAATACTCTGAATCATACACAGAAAGCCAAAGAATGGAAAATAATAAGCTCTCTTGTGAAAGACATTATATTTTCTCGTCTAGCTATATCAAGGACGTATTCTTTATATTTCACTTTGTCTGCTTCTATCTGATCAGTTGCGAGTATACCAAGCGTGCTTGTTTCTCTATCTCACTATTATTGTCATTAGATCGGATATCAGATTTTTTCTGTTACAATTAATATAAAATACCATGAAATATCAACGTGGTAAATTTAATGGAGGAAAAAAGTATTCTCACTCTCAATCCGAGATAATAGTAGATAGGAAAGAAATAGGCGTAATGAGTAATGTTCTTTATTTGCTATTTGAATTAATTCCGTAATCAACAGCACGGCTAGTTTTTCGATGAATTTTAGACCTCTGACAAAATATAAATGTCAAAATAGTCAGTGAACTATTGTCCAGTAGATTTTCTGAAGATTATAGGATCATTTTTTCAGGTCATGTCGGACAGATTAGATTATAATTTCAAGTTTTCTTCGCCAAGGACGACGCAAAATGTCAGATATCCGACAAAGTGTCGGTTCGTATTCCTTTTCTATAATATGAACATCTTCTAGAATAATAACTTACTCAAAATAATGTAAAAAACAACTCATCTAGCTGTTTTCAGTTAGAACGAGTTGCATACTCAGCGGTATGTTGAATGTAACTTGTTCAATCTCACTGAATATACTAGTCTTAATATCTTGATCATCGGTTGATCTCCTCACTACAAAGAAGAATCGCAGCACGAGAGTAATATAGAAGGTTTCTATTCATATTTTTAAATAATAAAGAGAAATTTTCTGCAATGCTTAATCTGGAAAAAGAATTTCTCGTCAACTACTGTTTGAACACAACGCTGATTACACATAAAAAAAAGAAACTAACCACGTCGTTATTTTAGTTGAACGTGATAATTGCTCACTGAAACAGAAAATTATAGTCTATTGTATCAGACATCTATTTGACAACATGTTTTTATTGTACGTGCTGATTTTGTGATTGAAACTACTGCGTCACCTTGAGGGCGTGGGTATGAGTGTTAGTTTAAATTCATCTTTCTTCACCCACGCCCTAATGGAATTGTTGATGTTGTTTTTTTTTCGATAAAGTTGAAACAAGTTTTTGTGAAAATATTTTTTTTAAATCTTCATTAATATTAATGAGAATGGTGTTGAATAGAAACATATTGTTCGATACTCGATAGATCTCCGCAAACAAACACATATATCCTCAACATATTTTTCGACGATAATTTTATTTTCTGTACTATGTACACAAACGTGTTACAGGCTCTACTTTCACACAATATGTTTCTTTTTTATTCTCTATTTTATTTTAACTGGATATATTATCTTTCGTTCTTCGGTGTGATATCTTCTGTGATCGCATATTATCATCCTCTTCTATTGTGTTCATCTTTTATTCAAACCCTCGATACGTGATGATATATACATATGCGTGTTTTCTCTCGTCTATTTTGTTTAATGTAAAACTAACTGTCGTGTATATGTGATAATATTTATTAAATGAAAGAGAAGGATTCAATTTGATCTAACTCATGACAACTGTTTAATCAATCTTTAGTATAGTGAATGCTGCGTGACCAATTTCATTCGTAATAGACGATTTGTCCTTCGATCAATTGTTAATAATGATGAATTATTTGTAGACGTCATTTTAAATACAATCATTCCTTCGACTATAATTGTATGACAGTTGTATGTTATCATTTCATTATTATTTTAGAGCTACTTGTTACACGCACATGTCAATGATAGACTATAGTATTCTTATTCTTATACAACAATGCATAGATGAAATAATGATATAATCACCCATAGCAACAGTATTTATTGAATTATTTTATAGTTTCTATTATATTTTTATATTATCCAGGCATAAATGTATGCAAGACAGAGAGAGAGAACATTAATCATTATCTGAAAAGAAAAGAAAGTAACTTATATATATCTAAACGAAAATAAAGCAGATGACAATGACTTGTTAATGTACTTTACAACTATGGTCATATATTAGATTCTATTCACAGTATTTCTTCTCATCTTGAACTTCATATTTTCAGTTTTATTTTTAGATGTCAGTCAAACGAAGTGTGCTTATTTGGCGTATATTATTGATACTAATTCTCTATGCTCTACAAGGATTGATTCAAGGTTTTATTGTATCAATTCCATTATATTTAGCATCATATAGTGCATCATGGAAAGAACAAGGTACTTTTAGTTGGGTCTCTTATCCATTTAGTTTTAAAATTCTTTGGGCACCATTAATCGATTCAATTTATAGTCGTCGAATTGGTGGTCGTCATCGAACATGGTTGATACCTGTACAAATCCTTATTGGTATTATTCTTATTGTTCTCTCATTCTATTTAGAATCTCTTTTGGTTAATTTACAAGTTGTCACATTGGCAATAGTCTTTTTCTCTTTGTGTTTTCTTATTGCAACTCAAGATGTTGTTGTTGATGGATGGTCTGTTTTATTATTTACTAATTCAAATCCACAATGGTCATCAACTTGTCAATCTATTGGAGAAATGATTGGCAGATTTATTTCTACAACAGTATTAATGACATTGGAATCAGCACATTTTACTAATAAATATATTCGTCAACCTCTTTCATTACCTCATCGTCCGTATGGATTATTCTCACTTCAACAATTTACTTTGTTCTGGGGTGTAGCATTTATTATTGTTAGTATCATTATGATAATATTCACAATTTGTAAAAATCAATCAAATAAAGTCAATAATGAAAATATTCAAGATGTACAAGAAATCAAACCAAAATTATTTCAAACATATTTAGCTATTTTGAAATTATTCAAGAAACCATGTTTACGTCAATTTGCTCTCATCTTATTAACTTTCAATGTTGGTTTTGCAGCCACCTATTATATGACCAACTTAACATTAGTAGAGTAAATCTTGATTATTTTATTCGAATATTGTATTTATATATATATATATATATTTGTAGACATGGTATCACTCGTGATATAGTTGCTCTGATCAATGGTCCTTTACTTGTTATACATATCGTTGTACCTTTGTGTATGAGTAGAATACGACATCCGTTATTATGGTTTGCTCGAGGATATATTCCACGTTTATTTGGATCTATTATTTTAGCTATTTTTATATGCTTTACACCACAAATTCTTCATACATCATATTACTATCCTATTCTAATATTATTATTGTGTTTAAATGAAGGATTAGTCTACATTATAACAGTATCACGTGTTGGGATCTATGCACGTATTAGTGATCCACATATTGCTTCAACTTACATGACATTATTAGCAACAATATCGAATTTAGGTCAAAGTATATCATCGACTGTTGTACTTTATCTTGCAAATTGGTTACCTAAACCACATGCGTATTCGATTGAGGTAGGTATTTGTTTCATACTTGGTTGTATATGGATAGGATTTATGTGGAGGTTAATGACACGTTTGGATCAATTACCTCGTGAAGAATGGCATTTAACATCATCTCCATCAATACCAATATCAACATCCACTACACATTCACAAGCAAATATCATTGAAGGTAGTGTCAATGTTATTGGTGCCAATCCATGAGTAAAAACAATAATCTGTGTTCTTTTTTTTTTATCAATAATAGTTTGTAGTTAAATAAATCATTTTTTCTGTATGCAAATTAATTATCAATTGTCACTTTTGTTCATGAAGTTTTCTGATTCGAAGATATGTTCATTGTTATTACATTCGAGACAAAAAATTCAAGGACACTCAATAATGTCTTACCAAAATTTCAAGAGTCATTTTCGAAGTACATAATAAAGTATAACTTGAATGTGATATACAGTTTTGAGAAGTTTTTGCATGGTGTATATATATGTATAACCGAGTTTACTGTACCGTTTCTTTTCTCTTCAATTAGACAAATAATGCGGAAGCAAATCAATAAGTTTTTTCATTTACTCAATTTTTACAATGCTATCTACATCCACGCTCACTAATATCCTCAACATACTATTCTTGTACAGCAAAAATATATTTCTTTCAAATGAATATATGAAAATAAGCCTGTCTTGGCACTCTAGTCACATAATACTAATTTCGAAAGTAAATACATTACTTCCTTTCATCTATACATATATTTATATAAAGGGTGGGTGTGGGCGTGCGTATGTAATGTTATAACAGCTGACACCCACACCCACCCGCTAATTAACGATTTTTAAAAAGATATCTCAAGATCATACTGAAAAAAAAGGTGCACTACCAAACTAAAGAGAGTTGCGTAAAAACAAAATCATCTTTTTCTTATCTGTGCATTGAACACATGATATATTAGAAATATGTATACCAATTAGATGTTCATGTTATTTTACTCAAGGGAGTAATATTACTCTTGCTGTATTCAGAAAGTGTGCCCACTTATTCTTGATAAGAAAAATGTTAATAAATTGTTTATTAAAAACCTAATCTTAAGGTGCAACAAAAGCACTAAAGTTCGCAGGCATAATTTGTCTACAATAAAATCTAATTAATATATGCAAATGGCATTAAGTAGAATATGAGCTTCTTTTGCTCCTTAGAAACATGCATTTATGTGGTTGATATAAATTACCCTTTCATCCTCATTTGCGTCTTTTTAATTTATTTCGCGTTGAAAGAACAGTTTTGTTTTAATTTCCGCTGTCTTATTTACTTTATCTACTCCAACAATCATTGATAATTTGCTGTCAGATCATAAAATATTTGTTATTCGAAGTTGATTCTTGAGAAAAGAGAATTTTAGTTGATAATCTTTCTTTATCTGAATACTTATCAATTAAAATGTCATTAAACAACATTACAAGTACCAATGTAATTCCATCGACGTCAGATAATTTAAATATCATTTTTAGTCTAATAACGAGAAATTTTTTATATTATCTTCCAATTATATTTTTGATTCTTGGTACCATTGGATGCATTGGTAATACGGTAATATTTCTTCAACCTACACTTCGTTCAAATACATTCTGTATTTATTCATTATGTGGCTCATTTGTTGATCTTGTTAATCTTTCTCTTAATATAATTATGAGTTATTTTACTTCTAATCTCCAAATACAATATTATCAGTTAAATTCTTCGCTCGGATGCAAATTTCTTTGCCATACATTAGTATTTTTACCGCAATTATCAATAAATTTAACTGTCCTATCACTTATTGATCGATTTGCTTGTACATGCAGTTTAACATCATCTATACGTCGTCTTAATCAAATAAAAATGGCTCCATATTGGATTCTTATTACTTTTATTATTAGTTATATTATTCCAATTCATGTCCTCATTATAAATAATATTATACCTGGTCGAGGTTGTGCATCAACACAATCAGTAATTTATGCGATATTATCTATTATTATTACTGGCCTTATGCAACCATCGATCATGTTAATATTTGTTTTATTAACTTATAGAAATGTGCGAATGAGTCGTCAACGTGTGGTTAGTTTTATTTTTTACTTTTTATAATATATATCTCTTTATTATATAGGGTCTTGTTATAATAGCAAATTCTGCTCATAGACGATATCAATTTGTTCGTACCGCTTCATTTCAGATATTAGGAACAGCTTGTCTGTCATTACCATCAACTATTATGTACGGATTTTCTATAATAAGTCCATCTTCTAATCGAACTGCAGAACAAAATACAATATTTTATTTCATCTACAATGTAACGTATTATTTGTTTTATTTGAATAATGTTAAATCATTTTATCTAATGACATTAACATCCCATCTATTTAGAAAAACATTTTTCACAATTCTGAAAAAATTATTTTTCAAAATTTTACAAAAGGAATATCCGATTTTATTAACAAACATTCCAGCAATGAACAATGGAACTACAAGACGAATCAAGTCTCAAATACGATGAAACACTTTTTTATGAAAGAAACAAAATTTTGAACTTTGTTGTCGTCTATGTATATATATTCTATGTTATAGTAATTGTTTGTTCAGCATATTTAATCAATAAAACAAACTTTATTTTATCAAGATAAAGTAAAACCAAATCATTTCAAATGTTCATCTAAAATTCTTACTCTCATATAATTGCGTTTTAAATTAAATGCATTAAGAATCAATATAGATTCTCATTTACGAAGTTTACATGACAAATAAGGGTCGAGTAACCCACAAAATCGAGCCGTTTTTCTACATGATTCGATGCAACTCGACACGTTGAAGTCGAATATATATAGTTTATTGAAAAAAGCTATTTTCTAGTAAAAAATCGAAAGTTGTAAAGAAAAATCATCTACAAAATTTAAACAAAATATGCTGATGCTTTGAAGGTTTTTTTCTAAATCTATGTTAGAAACTGAATCTAAAAGTCTAAGTGTTGACCATTCAGCTGATGTAGCTACCATGACATATTCCATCTGGGCTTAGAGAATTTTCGAATGGCACTAATATTCTAATATGATTCGAAAATTATAAGAGCCGATCGGATGTATATTATGAAAATAGATATACAAAGATTAGGATTACAGACGATCTAGAATATGCTTAACTTTACATTAGGAATAATGCATCATCATATTTCTTTATCTAATTAAAAATTCTATACAGATTTTTCTTCATGATAGATTGATATTTACATAGAATGTCCTTGAAAAAATACATGGCATATGCATCGTTCTATTGTTAGTCATTAGTAAAGATAGTGCGTCGTTTTCTTAGTTTGTCCGCGGATTATACAAGCAGAAAAATAGTACCGATATAATAATATTAACCACATCTTTTCTTTTCTTTTTCTTCTGGAATATATCGAAGAGAAAAAGCAATGAGAGAAGACAAATGATGATAATCTAATATATCAGAACATCTTAGACGTTATTTCTGCTATCGAGTGCATAATAGACAAACGAGAAATATGGTCTATCGCTATGGATATATGAGGGGTCATGGAAAGTACAAAGGATAAAAAACATATATACATTGCTCGTTTCTTTTTTTTCCTCTTATGTTCTGTGGTTATACAATTCTTCTTTTTCTATCGGTTACGTCCCGTTTTGCCGTTCTCAGTATTAGTATATATCTCGTATCTTTGTGAGAATTTATCATTTAGTACATATATCACTCTTTTATCAAGACACAAGTAAGCAGTATTCATTTGATTGTATAACCAAAATATGAATAGACAAAATATGTTACTGGTATTGATTTCACTTATGAGTATAGTTGTCTGTTGTTGGGCAACTACAAATGTAGCTGAAATAATAGATAACAACAAAAGAAATGGTTCAACAATGGGCGGCTATATGGATGATAGTATTCAAACTTCAGAAAAAAGGTATATACATATATATATATATTCATAGATATTACATAATTATTTCATGTTTTCTTTTATCTTATTAGTGACGGAAAATTTTTGAATTATATTCGTCTTCTCGATGGTCAATGTCACAATTGTTCCACATATAAATGTACTAATCATAAATCAAATCTAGGTGGTTCTGAATGGTGTATTATGTTATTTCCTGATGCTCTTGCTCATTGTGATTCTGATCCAAATTGTGGTGGATATACAATGACAACAGCTACATGGTTTCATAAAAAACATGATAAAAATGGTCAAGTAGCTGTTCATCTAACTAAAATTGGAGAAAAACCATTCAATTGTTCATTCTCAGAATGGAGTAGTTATGAAAAACAAAATACTATTCGTGATACTCCTGTTATATATGGTCGAACAACATGTTCAAATAGGTGAGCAAAAGAAATTTATTATTGTTCTTCTTAATTTTGTTCTTTATATAATTAGCGAACAAGGCAATTTCAATTATATATTTGAAAGTAATTCAAATGCAGTTACTGAAGGTGAAACATACTTATGCAAAAATCATCCCCAAAATCTTGATAATAAGGATGCAAATTGTATTTTATCAATTGTTGACGGAATAACACAATGTAATTCGGATGAGCAATGTGAAGGATTTGTTATCAATACAGATAAAGATTGGCAAAATAAATATTCAAAAAATGGGATGCAAGCTGTGCAATTGTATGGAAAAGGTGTAACATATGTGCCAAATCAAATATGGCGTAGTTTTAAAAAACAACATTAATTGTTTCAAATTTTTGTTTGTTTATTTTTCTATTTAGATACACTGTATCGTTTTCTTATTTAATACAGCGTGTATCACGCATGTCTTTTATTCAACTATACTTATCTTAGACATCATCGACTTGAATATCGCCGATATTAGCCTTTTGTCGGATATTCTTCGGCGTTGCGGAGAAAAAAGAATAATACATAAGAATGGTGAAGATCAAGGTCATCGCATATGGCAGTAAATAAAAGAGATGTATATAAATACTTGTGTAAGTATTCTATGTACACATGTATTATAACAGATGAATGAATTTAATCATCACTGTCTATATAGATATCATGCACTTCGATCAGTATATCTTCTAGAAAAATATTAGTTTCAACACATGTTATCAATGGAAACCAGCAACGCATCTGATCGAGAAAGATCGGTATTCTTGTTGATTCTCATTTATTTTTATGTGAACTTTGTATACTATAATCAATCGGATTGCTGGTAAAGATAAACAAGTTTCAATGGATTTTTCTATAAGAAGAAAAGTAACGTATATTACTGATATGTTCCTTATATAGAAACATCTCCAGTTAATAGAAGGCTATCGAACAGAACTTTTGTCATCAGGCAGAGTCTATTAATCTTTTTATAGTCGACATTTCAGATTAAATTATAGTGGTTTTAGATTTTTTTTTAAAAACATTATGTTTTACGATAGGCTAGAAAATCAGTAACATGATGACAAAAGTTCTGTCTTATAAAACTGTCATTCGATATATTTTTATCTTGAATGATTAAACATCGGCAGCTGGCTGCATGATATATACTTCGCCGTTCTTTTTTTTATTATTATTGTATGTATTGAATAATTATTTAATAAAATTAATCATAAAAACTTTGTTTATCAATATTATAATATAACCAACTGTGAACTATATGATATATTTGAATATTCACCGGTCCTAGGAAATTCATTAAATTCTACTGTTATCATCTTAAGGGTGTGGGTGTGAATGTAGAAAGATGTCAGATATGCAGAATAATCACACTCACATCCACGTTTATGAAAAAATTGAAACTGTGCTTGTATTTGATTTACTCTCTCGAAAAGAGTTATTTATGTAAGATTAAAATTTATAGAAAAAACATAATATACAACAAGGAAATTAGCAAGTGTTATTTTTAAGTTGAATTATTTATTTGCATAATTAATGTTTGTGTTGAGGAGCTCCACCACCAACGCGTCCATCTCCATTCAGATCCATATGTGTAACTTGTTCGGCCTTATTAACAATACCTATTGATTATTTAATATTCATTCTATTTACGTCTCTTAAGAATAATTATTCACATACCTGCACCGCCTGTAGCTGGATGTCCAGCACCGGCATGGCCAGTATTACCACTGTTTCCAATATGATTATCGTTATTTAAATCCATACCAGTTTTCTCTTCAACTTTATTGATTATACTGCCTATTGAAAAAAAAACTATATAAAAAAAACTTTAAGTAGAATAAAACTTTACTCATGTTTTTTTCTTGTAAATAAATTGACTGCTTGTTCGTATAATTGAATAATATAATTTGAGAAGAAATGAATTTTTTCTCTTCTTTTATAGACCGAAAAAATGCGACGCAAAATAGGAGACTCTTTTCAGTCTTCATACAATTATTCTACATCACGAGTAACTATACATGTCCTTGAAGTTCAAGAGGATAGAGAAAGAAACATAGCTAAAAGCAATCTTTTTTCATACATAGGTATTCACTTACGCACTTATGTTTTTTCGAGTAAACAAGATGTGTTGTACATGTTTATGAAATGCGCAGTTCGTTAAAATTTACAACTGCGTAAATTTATTAACTTAAAGATCACGAAGTAAAATAATCATGTTTTTCTTATACATCAAATAAAAAGATAAAAATTGAACTGTACTATAGTATTAGAGATTTTGATTGGTAAATGTATGCGATGGCAATCTAAGACTTTGTCTGATTGACAAAAAAAAAGATCATAAAAATAATTATAGAATGAATTTTTACTATTTAAAATGTTCACAATATCTCTTCATGTCTTTATAGTGTATGTGAATAACTAATCGAAAATTTTTTGTGTAAGTACAATTCAATAATCACTCTCACATACTTCTTTTTATTGAATAATTCATTCTAAAATCATATTTTTATCACAAGAAAATCAGCAATTTTTTATTATTATATTTAGGTATAAATAAGCTGTATATTACTTTCAAAAATTGAAATGTTCTTGTTACAATAGTTTCTCTATGAAATTCTACATGTATCGCTATGAAACAATATAGTATTAATAAAAGCCAATTTCTTAAAATAAGATTTTTGTAATGTAGACAAATGTTGACCAAATCTGTAGTCTGTCTCGATATTGATTGTCTGACTGTTCCACTCTCACGGGCATCTTAATATTTTTATTCGATACATTATTAGTGCTGTATTATTTCCTCTTAAATAATAATAGGTATATCCAAAATAAATATAGTTCAAGAATCTGTTTGCCAATAGAGTAATATTTCTATATTACTAATATAAGTTTGCTCAATTCTACTACTGAAGATTTAATTGTTTCTTCTTAGGATATATATTTCTTCATTTTAAAGCAACATTGAGTATATAGAAAAGATAATACCAAAAAACTGCTGTCATTCAACGGAATGAAAACAAGAAAATGTTATCGAAAAAGGAACATATTAAGTTAAGTATTTTACACTAAAGTATGTACATACAATAACTATAAAATGACTATTATAAAATCAAACACTAAGTTCGAACGTGAATCGAATTCGGTGAACCGTAAAGACAATTGAACATAGTTTTATTCTACATGTTTAATCTCGTGTACTAAATCAAATAAACTAAGCATTAGATATATTTATTATGAGTAAACAAACTACAGAATAGAGATAATACAATTTTTGTGAACGAGAAATTTTGTAATTAGTTAGATACATATAGATAATGATTTAATAGATTCAGAAGTAATACCAATAAAGTTTCCTTTTCAAATTTCTAAATCATTGTTTATTTAAACCGGGACACCAACAAACCAGTAACCAATAACAATTTTACGTTTATTTATAACTGGCTTATACACAGCTTGATACATTCTACCATATAGGTCCACTATTCCTTTAAACACTTGCTTATTATCCAATGCGTTAATAACGTTTGGATTTGTAAGAAAACTTCCATGAGCCACCTCACCATTTGCTAATTTAACATTTGTAAAAGTACGAATATATTTACTGTCTGATGCTGATTTAATTCCGTAGGACATTACCGCATCTCCTGGACGGTTTGCTAAATATTCATTGACTTGGTTAACGAGAGGAATAAATTGTTCGATTTGTTTATTGATATTAACATAAACAGGATCTTCAGTAACATTAGCATTACTTGAATTTTGTAAACAGATAATGATAATCATCGAAAAGACATAAAACCAATGCATCATTGAATTGTATTTTTGTTTAAACTAATAATAGTATAGATCTAAAAGAGTAAGTAGGTTATACGATATGAATAGCAATGTAGAGAAAACCAACTGATTCGTAAAACATTTAAAACCATCTCTTGTCTTACTTGCAGACGAAGATCAGTGATGGTATATACATACATACAAACTTATTCTGAAGTGGATTGAGTCAAAATTCAATTATCCTATTTATTATATATTTGACTGAGCACTTCTGCCTATGTCTAAACTTATGAACCTATATTAGATTTTGTATGTAGATTTAGTTTCTTCACCTATATCCTGTATAATGTACATGTGTCTATCAGTCTCCTTCCACATATATATATATATATTATTTATAATGTTATGAAGGTCAATCATATAAAATAACTTCGGTTAATTACGCTATTATTAAATTTAATCGCATTTACTTATTGTCGATACACTTCAAAAAAATTGTTTAAAGGTATTATCGTGAAACTTAATACAGAAATTCGTCTTTAACTCTAGCCTAAAGAAAAGATTTCGAAACGTTTCTCTTTTACTGTCTTGTATTAATCTAGTCGTAAGACAATCCATGTCATAAACTGTTATTTATATATAAAAGACAATGAAAGATATGAACTACTGAAAAGCCAGAATAACGAAGCAATGAGATAGATTTTTAAATCATCAGTTAGAAATTTACTAATGTCTCTTATGGCTGTGGATATCCAAATTTCAATTGGTATACATTTTAATACTCCTTCTGAATCGTGTTTTACAATAGTGACTGATAACAATTATTTCGAATTTAAGTTAACAATGTGATGTTTGAACAATATCAGTAAAGTTTGTTCGTATTCATAAGAACTTCACCATAATATTCATCAGATGAGAAGAATTGAATTAACTAACCTTGTTATGATAGTAGATATTGTAACGAACTGGATATGTATGTGACGAAGTTGATAATAAGAATATTGTTCTATTTTCAATACACATCTATATATTTATATCTATATCAGTCGCATGAGAAAAAGAAAAAAGCCAATGACGTATATCGGTCATGAGAAAACAAAAGAATTATAGATATAGAAATTGGTCCAATATGAAGACAGCAAGGTCAAGTTGAATAAGAAAAAAAAAGGTTGATACACTCTAAAAAATTTAGACATTTCCTCCGCGGTAACTACACACCTTCGCTGAACTTCTGATTGGTCATGACATACCTAATTCAGACAATGAAATAACTGATGAGTGATTTTTGATACTGACTCGTCTTATTCCTTTCTGATTGGAGGTTTTATGTTAATGAATTAAACGTCTAATAACTATCTTTTCCAAACAATACTGAGATATGTACAACACGTAGTAAGACAACTATTTTAACTCTTTTTCGAATTGAACTCAATATTATATTGATAAAGGAGTTAGGTAAACAATTAAAATTAAAAACTACTATTTAAAATTTGATGAGATCTAAAAACAAAAATTACTAAATAATATAAGTAGAATAACTACAACTTAATGAAGATTATACTGTTTTATTCTTAAATAATCCGAAAAGTTTTATCTTGAAAAAAATTTTCTCTTATCGAACTCTTTATTATAGTGCATAATTAACTACGTTCATGTATAAAAATAATCAAGAAATCCTCGAACAAAGAGTCTTAATGTAAAATCTATTCATCTAATGTAATATTTGAATTAAATGTATTGAGGGTGGGTATGGGTCTCGATGAAGTGAAATGCTTTCATCTCCACACCCTTATTTATATTCCGACTTACCATTTGTATAACTACAAGTGATACTTGTACGGACAGTACAGGAAAAAAATAATCTTTTAGAAAGAATTATACATATGAATGTATAAGTACTTCTATAAAAAGTGATTTGAACAATAACTATAATTTGAAAAAAAGCATAAAAGCACTGAATTTTCTTACTTATCAGTCGAAGATGTCTTCATTTATATTGAAATTATTTTTAGAATAGGTAAATAGAAGACAACATACCATTATATATACAAACATAGAGAATTTCATGTGTCATTAGAATATATAATTATTTTTTTAAAAAGATATTTCCATATTGAGAAAAATTTTGAAAACTCAAACAAAATCAAGTCTGCGAAAATTTGGATATGATACTGAGTTCATTAACTCAATTTATTTTTTAATACATAACTGCAAATCAAAATATAAATATATAGAGTCATAGAGAACTGCACAGACTTACACAATATATAATTAGTTTTAAAAAAATATCTTTTTATAATAACAATATACTTGAAATACGCACTGCATTTATTTTTTTTTCAGAATATAACTATTTTACATATGTAGATTGTGTTCACATTATTAAAGTGAAGGATAGATAGGATGTACTTTCCATCTGTATTTTTCATACCTTTTAACATATTTTCTATCTTAGTAGGAAAAAAGTGCATGAATAGATACCCAATTAAAAAATCGATGAAGAAATCACGATTATTTTTAATTCTGGACGAAATAGTCCAATTTTTTAAAATAATGGATTAAAATTGATTTTAATTCATTTACTCCGTAACTGTGATAGACAAATATGTTCGTCAAAACGATCTTTATGGAAAATATGCGGACTATAGTTTTCAGTGTATTTTGTTTTCGTATGATCTATATCAAATCTAACGTTGTGCACTAAATGGAACTTATTTTATTGTTTCTAATATTTCACATCGATTGTACAACTATTCATATACAGTATGTAAATCCTTTATTCAACGAATTTTCGAATACTATTTGTCACTGTTCCAAAAACACTGTTGAAAAATCTAAAAGGTTGTAGAAGATATTATATTACGTAATGTTTTTAGTATTAAACGCTTCAGAAGATGTATATTAATAATAGCTCGGGCAACTATGACCTTTTCGTTTGATCTTACACTAATAGTAATATATTTTTATTTGCGCATATTCTTCATAGTTCAGCCAATTTTTCTTAACAAAATTAATATGATCTCAAGCAACGATTCTTACAATGATGGTGACAAAAAATTTTTAACATACAGTTCATCTTTATCTGATACTAATGATGAAATTGATTTAACCAAACGGACAGCTACTTCAGCATTCAACAGAGATCTATTTCAATTTGTTGACAACCATCTTGAGAGTGTGGGTGTGAGGGTAACCATGTATGAATGTGAGATGTAGAGACAATCAATACCCACATCCTTCTGTGCCCGTACAGAACAAAGAATAATAAGCTAATACTATAGAAAAATCTTTCCCAAAAAATAGATGTGACACCTCTAGTCACTATTTTCATATTTATTTTTTACAGACATATGTACATCATTACGTTTCATTTTCTGTTTCATATATATATAAAACAGTTTTTAGGTCCAGTCATATATACTTTTATAGAGAAGTTCGAGTTCTATCATTTGATTAAAAACATGTCTCGATCGAATATAGAACAGAAGAGAATTGTTAAAAGTACATCCAGTCTAATTTATTCTGACTACTTCATGATGTAAAGGATATAATATTTATATTTAATAGAAAGAGATATAGTCTTTTAGTCTCATTAAATAATTATGTTTACAAGTCTTTGAAAACGTTATTTTATAGAAAAGATGAATAATGTTAGATCTGGTAAAGAAAATGTTTTGTTGCACTCTGTTTTTATCCTAAGCGCAATTAGGCAAAATATCTTTCGTATATGCTTTTATTCTATTGTGAGGCAAAGTATGAAATTATTTTATTCTGATGAATATCTTTTTTTATTCGCTTTATATTTAACTATTTATCATAATCAGAGCTAGGACAAGTACAAGTACCGCAAGTATAAGTATTATACTTGTACTTGAAGAAGAGTACTTGTTACTTGTACTTGTACTTGGGGAAGAGTACTTGGTACTTGTACATGAGAGATAAATACAATATATATTTTCGAAATAAGATTAGTATAGCTGCTTATTATAATGCACTAATAGTTTACAACGCAATTTATTTACTATTCTCTCATGATATGTATTTGTAATTATAACAGTGGGAATAAATATAGTGAACGCAAAAGACATTGTATAATGAGATGAGTAAGTGCTATTAAACAATAATGTTTACATATCAATTCTATATCTTTATCTAAGAGATGGTTTTAAAACTAAGTCTTAGTTTTGATATACTTATATATTTCTTCTTCACTACTTTATCAATAATTGTTTTATTAATGTTATATTTTTATAATTTTCATTTTTAAAATATATGCTTCCAAACGGCTACACAATCTTCGGGTCTTAATTTTTATGTACGATTCTAGACAGAACCATACCGCATAATTTTATGAAAGACATAAATGGAATAAAAAATGCAATACTTAACTCAATTTTATCTCTGAGATAAGAAATATGCATAAACTTATAATTAGAGCATTGAAACGCCGTAAATATTAAGTTGATCACTGTAGGAGAACACAAGACGGTCTAAACTTAACGAAATCGACGTATTTTTATTACCAAATGAGATATTATGGCATATATATAAAGAATAAGTACCAAGTATTCTTCCTAAAGTACAAGTACAAGTACCAAGTACTCTTCCCCAAGTACAAGTACAAGTACCAAGTATTCCTCCTCAAGTACAAGTACCAAGTATTCCTCCTCAAGTACAAGTACCAAGTACATCTTCGAAATACTTGTACTTGTACTTTCTACTTGAAAAAGTACAGAAAGTACAAGTACAAATACTTGCGTCCTAGCTCTGATCATAATATAATATAAAATGAAAAGAGACATTCCAAAATGAATTGAATATATAAACCATGATCTAATTATGATAAAGAAGACACAAAAAAAAAGTTTTTTTCTTTTATGATTTTTCTTTTATAATGGCAACTAGAAAAACTTATTCGTTCTACTACTGATGTTTTTGATTGTTGATATTTGAGAATAATATTTGGAATACATGATCGATGTCGTTACGTTCTGTAAGGGTTCATCAAAAATATTATGATGTAATGTAACGAAAGAAAAGAAGATAAAATAGTTTATTGTGTACTCAAAAAGTGAGTACACTACTAGAATCGGTCAGTGTGTCCGTCCGTCCGTCCGTCCGTTTACACGATAACGTTCGAAAGGAGAATCAGACTGAGCTGAAATTTTCTACACAGTTTACTCTCATTGATATCTCGGTCGAGTTCGAAGATGAGCCCAATCGATTGTACCATTGCTGAGCTATAAAAAGAAATTCTCATTATTGATCAGACCATCCCTGAGGGGGAGTACAGGGATTTTTTCAAAACAAAATATTATTCTCAAAATTATTCACAGCATATATAAATCGACTCAGTTTTTAACGCTGATTCCGAATCCGATAATAGTTTTGAACCAAATTGTAGCTTTCTAACAAAACATTGCCTGAAAAAGGTCTCGAAATGCAGAAAAATTGTATCTAGAAACCAAATTGCCTAGATATGTCTCAGATGACTGGTAGTTTTGGGGTTTTTCAAATACCTGGCTTTGTAGCTAGCCGAAAGGCCTATCGAAAGGTAAAAACCCGAACTCGATAGCTATTAACATTGGTGAGCTATTATGAAAATACTCCTGTCTGTATCTATCATATATCTCTTATAGATTCATGAAGTTACTTATGATCGTAATACTCCTAAATACAAACACAAATTCATTTAAAAATTATTCCTCTTACCTAGTATTTTTGGAGTATATAGAATTTCTCAAGAGCTCTAAATAATGAAAGGGGGTGAATATGGTGCGTTTGAGGTTTCCTCAACATTACACTGTCCGAAAACTATAAAAAACTCCCATATACTGACACTGCTGTTAGAACTGTTTATTATTGACTAAAAATAAAAAAAACAAGGTAACTGTCTATTTCCACTTTTTGCAGTACGCATAACTCTCGGATAAAATCCGAAGTTAAACATTTATTTTAGTAAAAAATCAATATATTTTTTCTTATTTCATCTTTTTTTCATGTAATACATAAAAGTAAAATGTATCGAATAGCTATAAAATGTCACTTTTTTATCTATTATGTATTACATTATAGGAACCATCTTGAGGGTATGGGTGTGCGGGCGTGGACGAAGACCGAGTATCATCCTCACACCGACAACCACACCCTCAGGATGTGATCCTACCAATGCTGCTGCTCTTAATATAAATTGCTCAACAATTCACAGTACTTTTGAAATTGGTTTAAGAAACTCTAATTTATCTGAAAATGTTCTGAATAATATGAGATTAAAATTAGATAATTTGTATCTTTTATTTATTAATGAAACTTCACTTGTTGATCGAACATTATGGAGAGATTTACATACAAGGTTAGGTCAAATCACAAACAAAACTGGTGCTAATATTTAATTTGGAAATGTATCTATAATTGCTGTAGGTAACTTTTGTTTTATTTTTTTAATTTCTATGATTAAAATTTTATATATATATAATTTAATAGCCATATTAATTTATTTTATTTCTTCTTCTTATTGCCATCTATAGTTATAATTTTGTTTTGAAAAATAATTAATTTTCATTATTGTTGTTGCATGTTGCTGTTGTTCTTTTGTTTTATAACCCGTAATAAATTCACTGTATTTTCAATTTGGGGTACTTTGGCGGCTTGTAAATATTTTATCATCAAGTAGTTGGGCACGGATTTTCCTATAATCATAGCGGTAGTACATAGGTCGCTTTATTTTGGGTTAAAATTCTGGATGATTGTATTGACGGTAACTGAATAATTTATTTTTCCATGTATCTAAATTAAGGTCTAGACTACATTGCCACGAATTGAGTGTTTCCGTTTTGTCGAAATATTGTTGTAATATTGTTTGTACTCCATCGTGTAATGACCATGAGCGCGTTGAATCATATTGTGTATGATGACTACAGTTGCATTCTATTTCATTAATTTATTCTTCATAAATTTCACCACCTGTGTTATATAATATCACCGATTACATTATCACGCCTTTTCATTTCTGGATGTATTTTATTTCTCTAACCTAAACGTATGAATTGAAGATGTTGAAAGTATTTCAATTCTTTATCTGTTGGGTCCCCATGATAAAACTGTATTATCATTATTTAATATGACAGAACAAAATTATTCAATTTTTCCCAAGCAAAGTTGTTATACATTCAGGTAGATAGTTGATTTCGAGAAGCGCGATTGTCGAATTACTTTGATAAAGTGCCAAATATTCGGATGTTTTTTCTCAATGCGATGAGCGAATCTATTATGCCAACCTGCACAAAAAAAACATAAGTTTCGTAATATAATAAAACTAAAACTTCTTACCTTCAACGATATTGTTAGTTCTGATTTTGATATTTCAGACATTCCATAATTCGAGTGTTACAGACTCCTTCCAAAATGATTGAAAATAATTAAAAAAAGATTCAAGACAATATGGATGATTCTCAAAGAGATATTCAGATGCCAAATTCATCTTTTCAAGTGGTAGTAAAGGAAATGCCATCAACTTTCTAGCATAAGATCGGACTTCTTCACCATTATCATATTGAGATGAAAGACTACGTGATTGTATCTTCTTATAAATACTTTGATTATAATGAAAGTTGCAACCTTTATGACGTGAGTTAGGGAACTAATTGAATGAAAAAAACAATGAGATTTTATGGGATAGAAGAAGAAAACTAAGGAAGAACATACTTGATGTTTAATTGCTTTAATTAGGTCAGGCTCAAAATCAATTGTAATCACATTACGTTCAAATGTAAGGCCAAGTTCTTTAGCTTGTTTCTTCAGTAAATCAAAAATATGCTAGTAAATCTGTGCTGATCGACCAAGTAATAAACTGATTATGCATGATATTGCCAAAAACGCAGAGTTTTAAATAGAAGCGAAAAAGTTCTGGGCTTATCATGATGAATGCAATGCATAGTAAAAACGTGATCAAAGTATGGAGGACAAGCGTTAAAAGTTCCGTCCATAAAGATATGTGATGATTGAAAGAAAATTTCAAGTTGTAAATCAGTAGCAAAAAGAAGAACATCTTCAGCATCTAAAGTTTGACTAGATTTGTTTGGTATTTCAAAGGTATCTGATATAGGATGATGTGGTATTGTTTTTCTTCGTCGATGTTGAAAAGATGGTTTTAGTAAATATAGAACGATAACTAAAAGTAATGAATAAAGTTATAAGTATTTACGAGCTTCTTTTGACATAGATGCCATTGATAAAGCTCAAAGTGTTAGATGCGCTGCTGCTAATTCTCGATCTTATATATGAGCAATCAGTATAGATTTTTCCAGAACGCGGCGTGTCACTTCGTTTCTGAATTTAATCTATTCGATACTTTAATAGATCATTTTGGTCGATATGAACCACAGCACAACATTAGTATCTATATTTAGTAAACAATCAGTGAGTTACACTATAATGTTTAGTACAAACAGAAAAACGTAAATGACGATTATAAGTGGAAGTGATCGTTATATATCACATATACTCGATGACAGTTCGAATGTTGAATGTTTTATTCTTTTGTCAATCATACAAAAAATAATTAGAGAAAAGTGAACTTTGCCTCGACCACAAAAGAACAATAAAACTATCTTTCGACGAAATGTCTTTCAATCAACAACATGATATTCGTATATCTCGAAGTTATTTCCATATCCAATACAGGCGATTTGTTCGTCATTTTCACTTGTGTAATTGTGTCGATGAATATGTTACTATATCGTGTGTATAAAAATTTGCACTGCTTTTCTTTATTATACTTCGCGTATCGACCGCCATGTTTGTGTATTTATTTTCAGAAGAATGAATAGAGAAGAAAAAAAACAAATTGAATACACGAAAGATACGATACCTTCTAGTGGTGAAAAATGTGTTGTACTCTCTCTTTCCTGTTAAGGATCAGTCTTTTTAAGGCTCCGTAATTAATTCTTCTTCGCTGGAAATAAAAAAAGAAGACTGGGTCACGGTACCAATGTTAGTTCGTTTCGACGAGCGTGTATGTTTATTTATTTGGAAATGAAAAAAAGCCTCCCTTTTCACTAAAACACACACACATATATACACTACTAACATGAAGAGAAGAGAAAGATACACCAAGATATATATATATGCATGTTAATAGAGCATTGAGGTATGATCGTTAACAGTTTCACAATGAAAGTTTTAATCTAATTCAAATATATCTAGCCAGATTGACTGACCATAAGAATATCTACATTATCACAGAAAAATAAATGAATTTTTTCATCTCAAAGTACATTTTTAGCAATGTTAAATTTTTAAGAAAAAGTGCGTCGTTCATTTCTGTCGCCATTAGCAGAATCGAGGAAGATTCAAAGAGAAACTAATTATTTTCCGTCTAAAGATATATTCTTGACAGAAACAGACTTTTATCAGCGGGAGTGCAAATTATTCAAAGATATATCATTCATAAGCAGAACTAAAAAAGGCTTGAGAGATATTAATTACGTACTTTTTTTAGCAGAAATCTAAAGTATTTCCATGCAAATTAATTATCTACGTTTACTTTCATGAGCAGATGTTAACAAGACCTTGAGAGAAATCAGTGGCGTTGTCATTTATCCAAAGCAGCAGTTTATCATTCATTTCTAACGTCACAAACAGAAGTGAAGAAGATTTATAAAGAAAGAAATTATTTTGTTTTTTTTCATTTTAGGTGCACTTCTAGTAGAATTATAAGATAGGTAAGAAAGAAATCCTTTATCTAATTCGATCATTTTTTACAAACAATAGTAAAATAAGATTTAGAAAGAAATATACAATTGGTAAATCACAATAATCATCCACATTTTGTACTTCAGAATGTCTCTCGTTGATTAAATATTTCAGCAATGGAGAGATTTTAAACCAAAAAAAAGTTTACATGTTGTCACATTGCCCTTAAAGGTGCATACTGACAAAATGTTAATGAAATCTTTACTATGAATTAAGCACGATAAGTCATTTCTTTTTGCAAAGACTTCTAAGAACATATTCTAACAGAAATGATCATTTTCTAATTAGAATGTATTACTTTTAGCGGAGATATATTATTTTCTTCTTGTGCATATGTAATGTTCTTTCTTCTAGTCATAGACTTATTAAAATGCGTATATTTAAATTTCCTTTTTCTTCTTTCAGTATTTGTATTTGACAAGAAATAAATAAATAGAAATTTACCTTAGCATTAATTACAAATATGTCTTCTAATGTCACCGTAGCATCAAACATCATTCAACTCGGACTTATATCGCAATACGTTGCTACAGCAACTGGCTTCATCATAGTCTTTTTTGGAGCTATAGGAAATCTTCTCAATATTCTTACATTGATTACATTGGGAAATTACAAGCACAATGCAAGTTCACTTTACATTCTTGCTAAATCATTTTTTGATTTTATTACTCTCTTTACGGGCGTTTTCACAGTAGTTCTCAATCGTGGACTAGGTATTACCTCTATCTCGACAAATTTTGTGTATTGCAAACTTCGAATTCCTTTAATTTATATTACTGGATTAAGTTCATATACATGTTTGTGTCTTCATTCAATTGATACATGCTTAGCGACATCGAATTCTGTGTATTGGCGTCAGAAGAGTAATATCGTAACAGCTCGTATCTTAATCGTTGGATTTTTCTTCTTTTGGATAGGACATGAAATACCTTATTTCTTTTTTCAAGATTTAATCAATTTAAGATGTGTATCAAGCAATGGTATATATACACAATATAGTACCTATTTCATTGCTTTTGGACTCTTCACAGTTATTCCTATTAGCATGGTCTCTGTATTTGGCTATTTCTCTTATCGTCATATTCGCAATCAGTTTTCACAAGACAGAAATCGTCCTCTCTCAAAACTGACAAAACAAATGACAAGCATGGCTCTATTTCAAGTAATCAATCTGCTTATCTTTGCATTTCCTTACGCCATACTTCAAGCTTATTCGTTTGCCACTGCCAACTTGAATAAAAACGCCTATCGACAAGCACAAGAACAATTTGCTCTATTTATGTTTACTATCTTCACGAGTGGTCTCTATGCGGTAAGATTTGTTTATCCTATTTCACGTAACATATTGTAAAGCTTGTTTTTTAGGATTCATTTTATTGTTATTATGCAGCTTCAAAACGCTACAGAGTACAAGTTCTGGATGCCATAAAAAACATGTTTGGATGTGGGAATCAAACAAAAAATCGTGTGAGACCAGCTGGAGAAACCATGAATATGACAATGACACTTCAACAGCGAATAGCATCTGTTCAGTAGCACACTTCTGAGGGTGTGAGTGTGTTAGTTTTTTATTTATTCTGCATGAGCATCCACACCCTTTTGAAAATGTTTCAAACAATATAGATCAGAGAAATATTTTCTGCGTTATTATTTTAAAAATAAACTGTATTATTGTTAGCATTGATTAGAAGTTTAGAATAAATTAGTTTCGTCTTTTTTGACGAGTATGTAAAATCGTAACTGAAACTACATGATGCTAAGTTAATGGTTGTACGCAATTTAATCGCGTAAATGTTTGCTTGAGAGATTTACGTATTTCAGGTAATCCAACGAGAGACATAAATGGACAGAGAAGAGCGGGCATATATTGAACATGACTAAGAATGCCAGTAGCAATTTCAGAGGACAATGGACTTGAAACAATTAATGGAATTATATGAAAAACAACATTGGGAATCCAAATAACCATGTATATAATTGATATGGATATTAGTTGAATAACCATTTTACGATTTCGTCGCCAAATCTCTCGTTGACCTATTCGACGTTTTTGAATAAGAACGCGAATGATGAGTAACATTGTTGCAGTAGCACTAGTAATTACGGGAATACAGACATGAAAGAGCCAATCGAATAAACCAAGATGAAACTATAAATAAAACTAATTACATTTTTGTTTATTCAAAAATAATGATTTGATCTAATAGACGATCTATTCTATTCACTAACTATTTTCCCTTCATCGTGATGACCTTCACTGTGTCAAGAATACAAAGTTCTTTTTATAAACTATTGAAATGTACTGAATAAAACTAACCTTATATAGATAACATGGATTACCACATATAGATTGTGTATAATCGAAGTTTATTCGACATGGGTAAATAATGATCAATCCTGTATATAATAAAAATGGATAAATCAAAAAGAATACTATCGGAACATAGTGAAGAATAATAAGATGTTTGTTAAAAAACGCTCGATGGAATATTAAAAAATATCGCTCAATACATCCGTAAGCCATGTACATCAGACCGGTGATCACTAGTGCATAGTTGTACATAGACCAGAAGAGACAAAATGTTGGTGATTGAATAGCAACAAATCCTGTATGTAACAAAATCAGCGTCAATGGCATCTCCGAGATCACCTATAGAAAAACAAAACTAAGATTTTCATTAATGCTGAATGTTTATAACTAACTTGGATGAAATTAATGAGTAATAAAGCTAAAATAATATGATTATTTAATCGTTTAAGAAGTTCTCGAAATCGCATAAAATAAAATAAGATAAAAACAGAACAAATGATCGAAGGAATCATCATAGCTAATAAACTTCCAAAAATAATCGAATGAATCAGTGGTGTACCAAAATTCATTTTCCTTGAAAAAAAATGTTTTTATTAATCAACGATAGAAACATGTTCAAAGTTTATATCCATAAAAACGTGCCTTAGTTAAGTATCAATATTGATATCAACAAAAAAAACTTTACTTTTTCACCTGTAAGGAAAAAAGTAATATAAAAGTTGGCGCGAAAGTCATACTTTGTTGAAATATTAAATAAGAAAAAACTGACTTTTTTTATCAATAACAGAGACATGTTCAAAGTCTACATCGGTAAAGACGTTTAGTAAATATATTATTTTTCTCTCTGTAGGTGAAAAAGTAAATTTTTTTTGTTGAGATTAATATTGATATTCAACAAAAGATCTCTTTAAGCACGTCTTTATGAATATAAACTTTTAACATGTCTCTATCATTGATTAACAAATCAGCTTGTGTAAACGAGCCGTAACGGAGATATCAGTGTGTTATTTATGCCCCACCCTGTAGAAAATATACAGTTATCATTGTCATTATTAGAGCGTTTTTGGCTGATGCTGTCACGTCTCCTAGAGCGTAAAGTAGATGTAGATTATTCAAAACTATATTCTGTACCTTGATACTCAAACTAAATTACGCTGTACATGTAATG